AATACGGTGATGCACAGCAAACTCAGACTTGCAGAGATACAGTGGAACACTTATACAACAAGGAACTAGAATTTGCAGAGAATGGCTTTGCCAAAGAGAACTCACTCACCCATCCGCATCATGTGTACAGGCACAAGCATGAGCCACACACGCACAAATGTCAGGCATAGAGTGGCTGAAGCAAACCTGAGCAACCTTCTGAGACCCTCGGTGTGGAAGGGGGCGTTGGGGTGCGGAGGGGGTGGGGCGACAGAGCAGTATGCTCTCTTTACTTGGTGCTTGGGGTCCCAGGAACCACCAGCACTTGTCAGCTGTCTCTCTGGCTGCTTGCTCTTCTTCCTCACCAGGTGACAGGCGGTAGCACGCACATCTCCAAGGGACAAGGCTTTCAGAGCCTTGGCGCCAGCTGGGGAGCTTGTGCCTGTGCTTGAGCCCTGCCTAGAGCAGAAGGGCGGAGCATGCCTGACAAAGCAGGAACCTGAAATACAGGAGATTAAACTCTCTTCCATCTTTCAGAAGCTACCTGTATCTGGGAAAGAGCCCACAGGCAGCAGGCAGTGTTGAAGCTACCTGTATTCTGAACAGCTCTCAAAGGAAGTCATCAAAGCATTTGAAGCCAAGGGAAGTGACCCCGTGGTAAGCATCAAAACTGTCCTTTCCCAGGCATTCTAGGAAAGCCTGTCACCGTTCATTCATTCCCTTAAACCCGGGCCTAGAACAGGACACAAGAGCCAGGCCCGAACCACAATGAACCACAATGACTATTTTAATCTAGGAAATGTTTAGTGTTTGCATTTGGTTACAAAGGTCAAATAAATCCCATGCAAGACACTGGTGGATGTTTGCATTTACTGTTAGGGCGTCACAGAGCCCTGGTGGGTGCAGAGATTACGTGCTCAGCTGCTAACCAAAGGGTCAGTGGTTCAAACCCACCAGCCTCTTGGCCACATAAAGATAAGGCAGTTTGCAGTTTCACAACCTTTGAACCCTTCTGGGGCCATTCTCCTTTGCCCTTGAGGGTCATTGCGAGTCAGCAGCATCTCAATGGCAATGTTGGTCTTTTTATCAAATTCCAGTGAATGTCCGATAAACTGCAGCTGGAGAGACCACCAGTAAGCACCGAGCCATCGAATCCTTGCCTCTGACTTCTCCCTATTTCATAGAAGGTCTTGAAGCTTCTGTGAGTGACTTTATAGTTGACTCAATTCACATAATGGATGCTTGCTTCGAAGGAGGTGCAATCGGCCTCCTCACTATAGCTAACATCCCATTCGGGTTAAAAGTTAATTAGACTGTGTTCTGTAAAGTCAATCCAAGGCACTTGTCTCGATAGAGTTCTTGTAATTATTCCTCATCAGAATGAATACCGCCTCCTACTGTGTGCCAATGTTGTGTGCAAACAACAAAAACCCCCAAACTCACCTTCTAGTCTCTACCTGAGTTGCTGGAATAGGTTGATAGTTACACAGAATTGAAAGCAGGGCATTCAAAGACCGTAACGTGTTCTTAAACACAAAGGCAGATACAAGCATCTTGTTTTAGGTACCACAGGTGCAACAGAGGGAAAGCAGACGAAATGGGATGCTGGATTCTATATAGCATAAGGATACCATCCAAAGGTATAAAAGCGAGGCACCCATTCAAATAAGCTTCTTACACAGTGTCTAAGAATGATACCAAAAACATTGGTTGAATGTGGCCCCACGACACTGTGTCCACGTGTGTGCTGTGCACCCTCAGAACTGTGTTGCTAACCCCTCCGCGGAGCGTTCTGATATGGTCTGGGACACAAGGGAAAAAGCGAGGCATCGGGGCACCCACAGATGACATGTCTAGTGACAAGGAACTGAAAGGGAACTCCCTGGCAATTTTTCCCTCAGGACCCAGAATTTAAACATGCCAAACTGATCCCCCAAAGTAAGAATAATGATAAGAGAAACAAAAAGGTGCATCAAATGCCAAAAGGCCTGGCTTGCCATCTTGACCAATGCATATCACATATCGACCTCTGGTAACAACATAAAAATTAACCTAAAAATGGAAACAGCTTTAGAACCACATCAAAGGAGGAAACTAGGCAGTGGCTGATTTGGTTAGTAGTCCTGCTCTGGCATCTTAATAATACATGGAGGGGTAAGAAGAGGAGGCCATAGGGGCTGACCAGGCCAGAAATGTCCACATCTGCAGTTTAACCTGGCTGGGGAAACAGGTGTCCTTAGACTCAATACTTATTGGAACAAACGTCATGCATCAGAAGCTCCTGTGAAGCTTTAAATAGCCCAATGCCCACTCAATCAAATCTCTAAAGGTTGGGCCCACATTCCCCCCAACCCACCATTGTTTGATTCCATTTTCATAAGCAGAAAACAAGCCAAGTTAACCAATATCATCATAAATCAGCACAGTCATTATCTTGGAGCAGGAGGTTAAGGACGGAAGGTTATAAATGGAAGAGGGCCACAAGGGGGAACCTCTTTTTTTTTTTAAAGCTCCCCGGATGATTCCAATAAGCAGTCATGTTGAGACCTAGTGTCTGAGAACTCTACAAGGCATCAGCTGAAATGATTCTATGGTGAGATGCTTTTGTATTGGATTGAATTGTGTCCCCCCAAAAAACATGGGTTGTAAATTCTAATCCTAGTACCCGCATGAAAAACTGGAATGAGGACCAGGTCAGACCCCCTTTGGCTACACAAGAGGGTAAAAGAATCAAACGCCATACCAACACAAGGCAGAGATCAGACATGCCTCCACTCTCCAGCTTCCTTTACCTTAACCATGTGGTTCCTTTGGCCTCTGCCCTGCTGGGGTAGGTGCGGCAAAGGACCTTTAGCGCTAATAAATGTGCACACAGCCCCGTTCTGCAAGCCAGCTTCCTGCCCGAAGGCACTCAGCAGCCGAGGAAGGCCCACCAGTACCCTTCTGCTGCTTCTTCCCAGAGCTCTGCTTTCTTGGGGGTGGGGACTCTGTTCCTGCTTCTGAAACGGCTCACTTTATGCCCAGTGGGAGTGGCAAAACTGACCAATCCAATCGCCGAGAGAGTGCCGCATACCTGATTTTGCATGGTCTCAGCCAACCATCTGGTGGGAGTTATAAAGACTCCCAAGAAAAGTCACACCAAGTAATTTCTCTTTCCTCCACTGTAGTGATAACCCCGTTTCGGGTTTCTTTGTCTCGTTAGTAAGTGTGTTAGTGTGCAATGTGTCCTTAAACAATCTCTTCTGGGGTTTAGGAAGGGAAGACTTAGCAAGCAAGGACAATTGAGGGAAGATAAGAAGTACCACCACAAGATTACCAACCAGCCAAGGAAAGCGCTAAAGCATCAAGGGCCTTTCTCTGGAGTGGAGAGAGGGCGAGAAACCTCCCCCCTTAGCCAGCATCCTAAGTGCTGACTCCCAGCTCCCTGAACAGTGAGGAAATACATTTGTGAGTGCCATCCACCTGTGGTATTTGTTCCTGTTACAGCAGCAAGCGCTGACTGAGACAGTTGCTGATCAGAGCATACAGACACTTGCTCCCGGGGAGCAAACCAAATGTGGGGAAATCGTGAAACAAGCACAAACCTACAGTCCAAGTTCCCATTTTGACCCTCCTCACTTAGTTGATCTTGGGCATTTGTTTTCAGGGGACCTCAGCCTCCTTTTAAATGTGAAGACGTTCAGTCACATTCTGTAGGCCCTCATGGAGTTCAATGGCTTCTACATATTAGCATAGGACCATATTTATGAATATTTGTAGTAAAATCTGAGCTCACGACTCAGCCAAAACCTTTCTGCATCCAATCCAAATCCAGTTTCACTTATTGACTTGTTAACTTCTGAAAAGCTAGACCCACCAGTAAAAACTGAGTGAATTCCGCATAGGTCAGGTGCCTTTTTCGGTCTTTTCCAAAATGTAGCTGCACGAATTCCGAATCCCAGTTAAATGGAATATGCTGATGAATTGTGGTCTGCCCCAAAACTTGTTTAACATCCTCTGGTGGGGGAAAAAAAAAAGAGTCAGTTAAAGCAGAGGAAAGTCAGGTTCTTTCTTATGAAAATCTGTTATTAAATAAATACTGATTCTTACAAAAATGTATACAGAGATTATAAAATAACATACAGAGGGGATAAAACCAGAGCCAAAGTTAAAGTTGGAAATGCCATAGAATCGGTCAAGATGTCAAAGTTAATAAGCCCACCACAACAAAATGGGAAGGAGGCGTATAGGGCAGGAGTGGGGATCCAGATTTTATTAAAAACAAAACCAAACCAAAAAAAGCACATCCTAAAAGGCACTGGGGATCTACAACAAATATCATAGCATTCGTTTTATTTCAGTGTATATTCAAAAAATATACTCTTGACATTTTTTTAGGCACAAGGAAGAGAATTCAAACTTCAATGACAATATACACACCTATATTATAAAACCAAATAACCTCAACCTACCACCTCTAGCTGATGCCAATTCATAGGGACCTTCTGGGACTGAGCAGAACGGCTCCACAGGGTTTCCGAGGCTGTGAGTCTTTCCTGAATTCAACTGTCACATCGTCCCCACCTAGAGCAGGTGGCCTTGAACCACCGACTAGTCAGCAGCCCAATGGCAAACTCACAGTCACCAGGGCTCCTTAACAGTGTGATACATGTGTTAAATACAGTCCTTTACCAAGTTATTCACACTCCAGACGTCTGAGAGGAGGCTGTGAAAATCACTTGGACAAAAGTGTAAAGCCCGTAGTCAACATCCCTAATCTTCCATTTGAGGTTTCCAAAGTCTAACACTTTATCAACGCCACGCCTGAAGAACAAGGGTATGAGGGGAAGCTGCTCTAACTATGCACTGCACTCAGGGTTTGAAGGAACTTCCCCAATCGTCCGAATAATCCCACGTTGAGATGGACTGTTGAATGCACTTGTGGATCACCTCTTCTTACTCTCTACCAAAAGCCAGTGGGAAAGCTCTGAGAGGGAGGGAGGGAGGGAGGGAAGCAGGGGAGGAGAGAGGGAGGGAGGGAAGATCAACCGAAACACAACCTTTCTGACAGCTCATTTTAAAATTTACTAGTCTCTTTCTCCCCAAAAAAGTGTTTAGAAGATGAAGGGAGTTTTCCTGCCTTTCACAGCTTTATAAATAGATCTACCAAATCTTATGCTTATGAGCAAAACACCTGACACCTCCCTCCTCTTTTGTTTCTATTAAAAATAGAAAGAAAAAAATAAGTCTTTAGACTGCCAACGGGTGCCCAAATTCTTGGCACATGGTCCAAATATTCCCCCCAATTTCCTATTTCCATTCCCTTTACACCCACAAAGTTTTTATTCCACGCATTTAACTTTTCCAGAGAATGTTTCAGTCTCGCCACGAAGAAGCCGCAGTGCTGCCATCTGCAGAAGGCGGGTGTGCATCAGCAGAGAGAGCACAGAAAATCAGAAGTAGGCTAATCAATCACAAATGTTATAAAAGGCGGCAGAAAAGGCTGACCCTGATGGGGACAATGAAAGTTTCCAAGTGCAATCCTCAATTTCCTTGAATTTACTGTCTTCTCACCTTCAGGAAGGACTTAAGCAAACATGACTCAAGGATTAGGACTTAAAGAAACAAACAAACAAAGGACTCACAGCCAGTCGGACTGAGGGTCAATGAGAGGACCGCGGGGGCGCTGCTCCGGGTGGTCGTCCAGTTCTAAATGCCACAGGAGAAATGGCAGCGCTCTAGTTCAAATAGCTCAGGCTCAATAATAACAGCAGAAAACACTCCTGGAACACTTGAGCTCGGCCCGGAGCTGTCTACTCCTGCCCAAAGCTGCAGTCGCGGCCCCTCACGGGAGCCGTCCTACCCTGTGCTATAGGGCAGCTATGGGTCCACACTGCCTGGGTGGCGATAAGTTTGCTTCTCTTGGTTTGACGGTATGCTGAGCTTATTCTAACGGCTCTCTGTAAGTCCTAGCCTTTTGGCTGCTTATTTAGTTCAGATAATTTATAACTGAGTAAAGGCTATCAATCAGAGAAGCGCCATTTCGCAGGCCAACAACTAATTTAAGAAAGGGAGGGAGACTGAAATTATATCAGCAAAGAAGCACAACTAGGACATATGCAAATCTGTTGCTGTAGAGTCAACGTTGACGCACTCGGGCCTTACTTATAGGGCAGAGCACAGCTGTACCTACAGTCCCCAAGTCTTTCATGTTTATGGGCCTGGAGCGCCCGTGTCCTTGGGAGGAGCGCTGGTTTAAGTTCGGTCCACCACTTAGCAGTCAAATGTTTAACCCTTACATCACCAGGGTACACCAGGGCACGACATTCATATTCCAGCACTTTCAACATGTTCCTGGAAAAACTCCATTATCTTGTAATTCCACTTCCCCAGGACCTTTTTGAAGCCTTCAAGTATATATGACACCGAACAGTTTCCTTAGCTCACATACTACTCCTGAGAGCGGAAAACGAATTAGTGTTTAACTCTTAAAAAGACGGATAAGCACTTATTAATTCAGATTGTGGCATACAAATTATGTTTGGATAGTCAGCGTTTCCATACCTACTTACACGGACCATGTTATTTAAAACAAGACTTTACCAAATAAGCTCAAGGATCTTTTGAATATATTTTGTGGGGCTCTGATTTCTCCACAAATATTTATAGTTTAAAAGTCCACTGAAAAAATTGAAAACACCATTAAAAAATGATTACAAAGTGGCAGCTGTTTCTCTCCTAAAGATAACCTCAAAAAGTCCACCAAGTTCCCCTAAGAGATTTCCCAACACATAAAGCAAGGCTGTGCTGAGAGAGCTGGTACTGTTATACTCTGGGACACACAAGGCAAGATCTTAGACAGATGGCGCTTGCACACCAGGGGCTTGAACTACTTGTGCTTGCACATGTGCTCACACGTTCAGTGTCCACTTAAAATTGTCATTCCTTGCTGATTATTTATGAGTGACCAGCCAAAAACCATGTTGTCTAGGGGTTCACTAAAACTCTCCTCTCACTTGGGTCAATGGTCAGCCATGTACAGAAAGGCCGAGGAGCCCGCCAAACAACCTCATAGAACTAAAGAACTAGGTTGGGGGATAAATGAGCAACATGAGGAAAATCACCGATATTTTTGTACAGCCAAAATAAGCAGTCTGAAAATGCAACTAAGCCAACAATTCTATTGCAATCGCAGCAAAAAGAATAAAATATTTAGGGATAAATCTAATGAAATAAATTTTTAAAAACTATACTCTGAAAACTACAAAACATTCCTGAGAGAAATTAAAGACCTAAAGCATCTTAATTTCTTGTTGGCATGATGGAAACGGCCTAAAACTGACTGCAGAACTCTCTGAATATGCAAAAAAAAAATCACCAAAATTTACACACTTTAAATGAACGAGTGATAAGCTATGAAATTGTTCTTAATAAAAATTTTCCTACAAGCCGAAATCGTTCACCAAAGAAGATAGACAAATGACCAACAGGTATAGGAGAAGATGCTCAATGCCATTGGTCATGAGGGAAATGCACATCAATACTGCAGTAAGATACCATTTCACCACCGGGCTGGCTCTGGTCAGAGAAACAAAAAACAAGTGCTGGCAAAGATGCAGATAAACTGAACCCCCATTCAATGTCATTGCTAAATAGAGTTACTGTGGAAAAGTCTGACAGTTCCTCAAGAAGCTAAACACATAAACCATAGGACCCAGCAATTTCATTCCTAGGTATCTTTCACAAACAGATATTTATCAATGCACAATTGCCAAGAGGTGGACAAAACCGAAATGTTCACCAGGAGGTAAGTGGATAAATGCAATGTGGTTTATATGTACACAATGTGGTTTATATGACTGTTATTCAGCAATCAATAGAAATGAGGTTCTCATACATAGATGAACCTTGAAAACGTTATGCTGAGTGAAACAGCTCAGACACAAAAGGAGAGAAACTGTATGATCCAAGTTATACTAACTATCTAGACTAGGCAAAAGTAGAGAGACCAAACTTCATAGTGGCTACCTGGAGTAGGGGGCGTGGCAAAAGGACACAGAACGTCTGCGAAGGTCAATGGGGAAATGTAGAAAGGACTAGTGGCAATGATTGCTTAACATGAAGAATGTAATTAGTGCCACTGAATTACACAAATTAAAATAATAAATGGTTTAAAAAATATTTACCACCATTTAAAATAAATTAAAACGGCAAAGGCCATTCCATTTGTCTCTTACTCATGAATGGCAACAGCCACTACTTACTAAGACTCAATTCTCTTGGTCTGTAAAATGGGAATACAGTACAGTATCTCCGCTGTCCAGGGTCAATTGTGTCTAACAAAATGTAGTGAACATAGTAGGTGACTGCTCAAATGATAATGCACCAAACCTGAAATTCTTAGTGATTATGAAAATTGTTATTTGGGTACCAAGTATTTATGGAAGACATAAAAACTAATAATCAAACATAGCTTACTTGGAATTATCAGAGTTTATAGATTTCTCGGAAAGCATTAGTTTTCATCAAATGTTAAAATCTACCCTTCCCTTAGCTCACATACCAAAATTCTGAATGAAGTGATCAAAAGCCAAGTAATTTTCTATTATGTTTCTGAAAGTATGAAATTAAGAAAGATTAAGAACCTCCACTCTTTACTCTGAAGATCTTTCAGATACTAGAAATATTTAATTGGCAAATTACTTGCACATGCCATTAAGTGGTTAGACTGAATTTGTTTTTACAAATTCTACGGGCTCTTATTCCTTAACCTCCACCACGCTATAATCTGAAATCAAGGCCTTCACTTATGCAAATTTTAACTTTGTACGTTTTTGTTTCCACACAGAATAACTAAATTAATGTACTTTAATTTCTAGAAGATTCACTTTTTGAAACTCCAAATCAATGAAAATGAGTTTCCCATTAAAATAAAAAAGATTCATCACGCCATATTATTTGAAACACTGAACCATAATCTCACGGATTCTAAAAATTCCACTAATACAATAAACACG